ATAAACTCAACCTTAACTCTAAAAACTGGACTGACACAGCTTCAATTTACTATAATCTTCTACATTGTAAAAGCGCTATAGAAATGAAGATGAATTGAATCGAATTTGAAAGTCCAAAAAAAAGTTCAGCTGCATTTAACTTTACGCCAAAAATTTTTGAATTAACAACCAACAATAGATGCTCATTTAAATGTGTTGTTTCAGCAATATTTCTATTTTTAAAGATTTTTTTTTAGGCCTCACATTATTTTGAATGTCTCTTTTGTTTAACACCCTCGATTTAGATAACCAGCTCATTAGAAGAGAGCTCCAAGAAGGAACTGTGTTGAAATTGACATGTTTACTACATAGTGTTCCCTACTCACTATCACCTGAACATAGTAAATCAGCTAAACTTGAAGTTTACGTCATTTGAAAAAAGAATAAAAATCCCGCTACACAACATTTTTACAGTAGCGTGAAGTGTAATTATACAAACTAATTTCGAGAAAAGTGTGTAATACCATCAGATTGATTCAAGCTTACAATAAATCGACCGATTTTACCCTACTCCCTTTTTGAAGTTTATTTCTAAACTAATTTCGAGAGGATCACGTGATTATGCTTGCAGCCGGTCTAGCATTATACAATTCATGATTCACCAATCAGACGATTCCTAAGCAACTATAAATACCCTAAGTTCCATATCACAGCCATCTTTGTTTTGAAGAATCCCCCTTCCACCACTACTCCTCCTCCTTTCCTAGATGGGTGGCATGGTGGCCCAGTGGTTAGCGTTGCTGCCTCAAAGCAAGAATGTCACTGGTTCTAGTCCTTACCAAGCCAGCCAATGTTTCTGAGCAAAGTTTGCACTTTCTCCCTGTTCCCACATGGGTTTCCCCCGGGTTCCCCGGTTTCCTCTCACCATCCAAAAACATGCAACTTAAATTAATTGACTAATAAAACCATAGACGTGCTCCTAGTAAGTAGTTATCTCTTTAGAGCAATCACTATCTGTTCATTAGCTACTACAGCAGGGGAGTTCTTGAGATCTACCTGAGCTCAAATGCCCCAGGCTCGAGGGTCTTATGAGCTCAGGGCTCTCTATTGGAACAGCATGCTAAACAAGCTTTATAATCAATCATCAGCTAAGTGTGAACTCTTGAATCTTCGTTTTGGAAGAATTCCCACTTCAACCCTATTTCTTCCTTTTCCTCTTTGACCAGGGGGAGCTCTCAAGACCTACCTGATCTCGGACCCCCTTATATGCTTATTGACCAGGCAGGAGCCCTGGGCTCAATTATCTCCAGATCAGGCATTTCTAAGGGTGTACTCACACTAAGTACAGTTGCCTTGACCCGGACCAAAGCACGATTGCCCCCCCCACGGCCCGTACTCACATTGCATTCGAGCCTGAGCATGCTTACATCATCGATGATTCAATGTTCAGTAAGAAGCGTTCAGCACAGTGGAGATTTCTTTACTGATATTGTTTTAGTGGTTTGGGTTGCTGTTACACGCAGTGAAATATTTCGCCGAAACAGATCAGCTACCTTTGACACCCATAAACAATAAAGCCCTGCTGCAGGAATTAGGAGGTGTGCTGAAGGTGCAGCTGTTGTGCAGTGAGGGGTTTGAATATTTAATAAACTACAACAGTTTGCGTTCACTGAACAGTAAGAACGATTAATCAATACATAAAAAACAGTCCCTTACAAGTCAAGTATCGTCTTCAGTTTCAGGCTCAAGTGATCCCAAGTTAACTGCGGTCTGGCACACCCTGAGGCAGATTCAGAGCACTCGCACTATTTAAACGATCTGGGAAACGGGCCTGGGCACGGTTCGGATAGCATAGTGTGAGTGCGCCCTAAGTGTGAAACTGTGTAAAACATATGCTAGATAAGTTGGCGGTTCATTCCACTGTGGTGACCCCAGATTAATAAAGGGAATAACCCGAAGAAAAATTAATGAATGAACTCTCATGTCCTGATTGTAAAAGAGCATGAAGACATCAGTGAAAACAATGCACAGTCTGAGTTAATTGATAGTGCCATTGCTTGGCAACGTTATGTAACTGTGACAACTCTCAGAGCCTGAGATATTCATCATTATCTTTGTTTAAAAACTCCCACGCGTCTGGCACTACAAGTACAAACAAGCCTATTCAAACAGAATCTACATGAAGCATTTTTATTACGAATTAGACAAAAAAAAAAAAGTCTGACAGCTTCAGAAAAAAACACGTTCAACCAGAAAGACATCATTTTATCCATAATTTCAAAGTGCGAGCGGAATTTAGTCCCACTCACAGCTCATTGGAATAATAATTATGTTAGAGTGCATTTCCTCAGAGGAAGCGAAGCAATTTGTGAAACATCCTGGCGTACTTCGTAATCCCAGGTGCTTTTTATGCAAACAGAAACCCACTCTGGGGTATCCCAGTACAGGGATCACGTTCAGTGAAGGTGTTGCATTAAGTATGAGCCCATGTCGTTTCTATGAGGCATTCAGACAAGGAGCGCAGTATGAACATGACAGCCTCATGTAACATTTATTGAGCCAAATGTAATTTAAAAAGAATTTTACATTGCAGATTTGCTGGATGAGAGTTCGGCTAAATGTAGCGCATGCAAAGGATAGTTCACCCAAACTCTTCATTTAATCCTCCTTATGTAGTGCTATATTTAATTAATCTTTCATGGAGCACAAACATTGCCTTTTTTTATACTGTGGAAGTGGATCGAGGTCTTCTGAAGCAATATGATAGCTTTGTATGAGGAAGGAACATAAAATATGCAGGATTCATACACATTCAAAATATCAGCCCAATCCATTGACATTATTAACTTCTGACTAGCCTTCAGTTGGTCAATGGCGTGGTCAATTTCAGGTGCTTCAAAATAGCTTTTCAGACCAGCACAACTATGGAAGCACAAATTAGCGCAAATGTTTTTGCTATTTAAACAACGTAACGTATGACGTTAAAATGATAACTGCTTTGGACTGAAATTAGCAAAAAAAAACTATATTATGGACCTTTATGACATGCATTTGAATACAGGTAAATACCTTTAATAAATACTTAATTACCGATGTGTTTCCATATCCAAAAATCAATGGAGGCTCAGAATTTTTACGGAAACATCTGAGACTTTAAAATTAAAACATCTTCATTTACGGACAAGGAAATATTGGAAATATGTGCGTACGTCTACATTTTTGCGTACATAAAATACGCTGCTCTGGGTACATTTCGTTGCACGTTTCAGATGCCAAATCCACTGAAGTGTGACCTTTGCATTTTTGCATATATAAAATACGTTACTTATGGGATGTTTTGTCGTAGGTTTCAGATACACGCCCTTCTTGTACATGACCACCAGTTTTACTTTTTACCAGTTTGATTTTACTCTGCTTTTATATCTGAAACAGTGCTTCACCCAAGCAATCTGCTTCACAACACTGTACAAGGTAGAGGTCTGCATTGCATTGCATTGCATTGCGGCGCGGGAATAAATTTCCGAATAAATCGTGGGAGTGGTCGGTAACGGGTTTAATTTGGGACGGGAGCGGGCTGTCTAGCAATATCGCGGATATTGCTATGCGAATGAGAGAGAGAGAGAGAGAGAGAGGGAGAGAGAGCAAGCTTTGCTTGTGTGTGTGCTTGGTGCTTGTGTGTGTGTATGTTAGTGCGCGCGCGCGAATGAGAGAGAGAGAGAGAGAGAGGGAGGGAGGGAGAGAGAGGGAGAGAGAGAGAGAGAGAGAGAGAGAGAGAGAGAGCTTTCCCAGATAGTCAATTACACTCGGGCCAGTTCCGGCTAGATTCTCGCCTGCCAGAGACTTACCACTCAGCCCGGCTCCGGCTGCCGGACTCCGGATGTTGTTTGTGGACTCACTGACAGATTCCGGCCCGAATCAATCGGGCCAGATGCGGTGGCCATAAGCGAGCCGACGTTGCCACATCCACGCCGGAATTGGCCCGAGAGTAATGTGCGCTGCGCTGGACTGTATAGCTGGGGGATTTTCGGTTTTGTTCTCCCCCGCTCTTTAGCGGGATCCGGCGCGGCGGGCAGAAAACGGGGCGGGTCGGGCAGCGGGACAATAAATTCTTAATATAAGCGGGAGCGGTCGGGTTCGGGCTAAAACCTGGCGGGTGCGGCGGGAGCGGGATTCAAAATTTAGTCCCGCGCAGATCTCTAGTACAAGGTGAGCTACTGAGCAAACTGACCACACCAGAAATATCGTCCATAAGGATATTTATAGGTGAGACATATTCGATTACAAATCATTGAAATAGCTGTTTTGTGGTGTTTATTAGGAGCTGTGCAGGGAACTGCACACAAATATTCCTTTATTCATTGATAATAGTGTAAAAGGAACCAAAGTAGTCTTCATTTTAAAACTTCATTTTACCCAAAAATTGCAGCCAAACATATATTAAAGCACAAAATTGTTCACCGAAGCACATATTTCCAATCAGCCTCTATTCTTTGGTTTAAACCAACAAGAGCATTTGTGGTTGAACTGGCCCTTTAAATCTTTGAGTAAACTGTCCCTTTAAATGATCTCCCCCCCTGCTTCTGTTTTGCATTTATGCATGTTTCTGAATTGACACCCATCTGTGTGTGTGTGTGTTAGTAATATATACAATAATTATGAACAAGTAGACTTATACAATTGTTCACGTCATGTTTGCTCTTGCAGAAATTCCCTGGAGCTCCGATGCAGACATACTGGTACATGTGCATGTTCATAAACAGACATGCACAATTCCCGCACACACACATAGTCCTGCAATCGCTTTTCAAACACACACATACTGTATATATATATATATATATATATATATATATATATATATATATATATATATATGCTGCGGATCGCTGACACACAACATATCTAGGGGCTCAATCTCATCTGAATAAACACAAACACACCATACACACACATATATTCCCCACCCCCATCATCCCACCCACACACACACATTACTGCAGTGGATGCAGTCTTTAACTCACGTTGGAGTCCAGCAGGTCGATGCTGTCCAGGCTCTTGCTGCGGTGGATTCGGCCCTTGATTCTGCGCAGGGATGGTTTGCCGTGGCCCGATCCCTCAGATTCATCCAGCACAGAGACTTTGTCTGGGTTGGGGATGTAGGCGTTGAACTTCGGATAATAACTGAGGATGTGATGGATAAAAGAGTGGTAGTTTTATTTGACGTTAAACAAATGACCAATTGAAAAAAAAAAATGCAAAAAATATTGTGCAAAAAATGCTTACACTGCAGGGCCGTATTTGTCTTTGTCGTGTTTGGGGAAGACCCTGAGATTGAAGCACAAGAGAAACAGAGAGAGATGCTTTACATTTCATCGCGAATCCAGTGAAAAGACAACATGCAAAGATGTAGTTTAACCAATGTTTCAAATTCTGTCTTTTTTATGAACATCCTGTTTGTAAAAATACAGTGGCGTTATTCAAACTGTACACAGGAATATTTGGAATAAATCTCATTCTAATAGTCACTGATTTATGTACAACTTTATTGTTGTTACTCCAAGCCAACTTTAGCAAAAATGTGACCCTGGACCACAAAACATAAGTCATAAGTTTTAAAATTGAGATTTATGAATAAATGCGCTTTCCATTGACTTGTGTTTAAATAGAGTATAACAATATTTAGCAGAGGTAAAATCAGGGCGTAATTTGTGCCGGAACATGTTGGATCCGGCACCTGTAAAATCAGTTTACCAATCTCCCTCCTCCCCCATCCGCTGTTCACTTTCACTTTGTTCTGATATTCAACAGCCTGCTACAAACAACGCAATCTCACAGCAATTCGTAACTTTTTGATTTAGTGGCTAGTTTGTATGAATTCGTACGATCTAATTCGTACAATTTAGTTCAATTTGCTCATCACCCAATGACGGTTGGGGTTAGGGGTGGGGTTGGGTGCAACGCCTCCTTTTTAAAATCGTACTGGGAGCTCACGATTCACCAATTAAGCACTGGGTAAAACTATTAAAATATCTGAAATCTAAGAGCTAAAAAAACTAAATACTGAGAAAATCACCTCAAGTTACTAATCAAAAATTGAGTTCTATAAATTTCTGTTGATGCATATAGATTAAAAAATAAAACTATTTGAATACCTGGAATCTGAGGGTTAAAAAAAATATCTAAATATTAAGAAAATCACCTCAAGTTACTAATCAAAATTCGAGTTTTGATAAATTTACAGTAGGAATTTTGCAAAAATGTCTTGCAATGTAATGTGTGGATTTATAAAGCGCATTTATTGTGTATGGCCATACACGCAAAGCGCTTCACAATCATGAGAGGGGTCTCTCCACACCACCACCAGTGTACAGCATCCACGTGGAAGATGCAACAGCAACCACAAGATGCCAGTGTGCTGACCACATATCAGCTATGTCTTCATGAAATATGATCTTTACTTATTGATCTAATGATTTTGGCATTAACAAAATCTATCATCATTACCCATACAATGTATTTTTGGCTATTACCAAAATATACCTGTGTAAAGTGGGGAAAATAAGTATTGAACACGTCACAATTTTCTCAAAAAACATATTTATAAAGGTGCCGTTAACTCGAAATTTCCACTGGATGTTCATAACAACCAAAGAAATCCATATAGAAACTGAACTAATTAGATTACAAATTAAGTTATGTAATAAACTGAAATGACAACAGTGAAAATGTTTCGAACTCATGAAGAAAGGAAGGTGTAAAGGCAGTGAAAGCCCAGACAGCAGCTGGAATCTCTCAGTTGTTCTTCAGCAACCCTCTGCCCTTCCTCAGTGTAAATGAATATCAGCTCCTTCAGTTCAGCATCTACATTAGCAGGATGATGAAGATAAAACCAGGGTGGACATTTCAGCAAGACAATGATCCAAAACACAGCAAAGGAAACTCTCAAATATTTTCAGAGAAAGAAAATCAAGCTGTAGAATGGCCCAGCCTATCACCTGACCTGAACCTAATAGAAAATACAAAATAAAGCTCAGATTTGATTAGGGATGGGTACCGAAACTCTTGACTTTATCGGTCTTGGTGCTACATTATAAAAGACAGAAGTATCAATAAGCTCTGACGTTAAAGCTTCTGCTATCAGTACTGGAGAATTATTGCTAAATAAACATTACTTACAGTAGCATAATTTAACTGACCACACTTTCTAATTTGCGATATTCGTCTGCACTGTTGGCAGTCTCACATGAGAAATGCTTGTGTTTTCGCCCAATAGTACAACGGCGAGCACCTCAAGTATAAAAGCCTTCACAGTTCTTGGCTGTGCGCACACACTCACTGGAGGCTCACGTTAAGTGCATACACATAGCTCGCGACACAGACTCAGCTCATAAGCTTGCTGAGAGAACCAAACGCGTTGTATTTCCTGAGTGGACAGCGACAATGCTGGTTGCAACAACCGCAACATGTTGTTTTCTTGTATAAGCAGAAACGCAAGCAATCTGGCTAAGCATCTCTCAAAAGTGAAAGACAAGCAGAAAGACAAATGAAAAGTTTTCGACTGATTAGCCAAAGGTACATCATCCACATCATTATGCCAGCAGTCAATCACATAAGGTCTCTCTAAATTAGTGTAATATTAATAGTTAAATAAATACACACATTCGGTTAAAATGAAACCGAAACCTATTCTGCAGTAGCCTAAATAAATCTTTAAAAATACTTTAACATTATTGTATTTACAAATACAGTCTAATAATAAACTATTCTTATTAAGAAATTATTAAAAAAAAAAAAAACTGCTTATTTTTACGTTGTTAACTTCCAAAACACTGTTAACTCATTTATGTCAATGCGTTAATGAAAAATCATAAACATTACACTGTAAAAAATGGCCGTGATTTCAACGGTAAAAAGCTGTAAAAATGCTACAGTACAAATCCGTCACCTGGTTAACAGTATGTTTCCTTAATATATACGGTGAATAACCGTAAATTTACTTTCCCAGAATGCCCTGCATGGCACATCACTTTTTATGCATTTTGTTTACATTACTATTGATCTTTTTACTTGTTTCTCCATCAGTTATGTACATTAGAGATTTATGTTACATCTAATGTTGATAAACAATGTTTATTTCATGACTGTAATTTTATGCGTGTTACCATACTGGTGTTTAGTAGCTGTGTGAATGAGACTGAGCACCTTCTATATTCTGATACCCTTTTCTGCTTGTGGGAAAAGTTGATTGTGATGAGCACTGGCTCTTTATGTTACTTCCTCATCACCACCTGCATGTGGGTTTGCTAACGTGTCTAACTGTGTAAAAAAAGATGTGTAGATGTTGGTCATTCAAAATACAGTCAAATTACCTCTATAAAACACGGTAGTTTACCGTAAAAATTAGAAATTACTTTTATGGTTTGTACCGTGTTTTTAACGGTAAAGTACTGGCAACCACAGCTGTCGTCTTTTTACGGTAAATTTTACGGATTTATTTTTTACAGTGTATATTATTATTTAACTGCATTTTGCTGCTCAAAGAGGGTATTTTCAACTGCAGGGAGCGCAATAAAGATCCTGACTTCTGCCAGAAAAGTCAAACATGTTGAATTTTCTCCAGAAGAATGGGTAAAAACTGAGAGTCATTTTCCTTTGAACCATTGTACATTCTTTTACAGAAAAATAATTATTTGTTTTACAATTATTGGTTTTGCTTTATTTTACATTAAAAACGTAATAATAAAATAAAGTGTTGTTAATTCTATTGAATTTTTTTAATTTAAAAAACACTACAAAAAGTACCGATAAGAGAACTGTTAAAGTACCGAACCGATAAGTGGTATCGATAAAAGTAGTAATACCAATAAAACCTTAACGATATCATCCCTAGATTTGATAGACGAGACCCACAGAACCATCAATATTTTGACACTCTGTTGAAGTCTGTGAGAAACTCACACCTGACAATTCATTCTGCATATGAGAGGTGTGCCATCACTAAAAAAACTTTTATATAAAGTATTAAATACATTTTAATAGTTCAGCAGTTACACAAAACTCATTTTCACATTTGTTTCGTTTTATTTTTATGTTTGTATTGTTTTTTTTCTTCTTCCAAAAAACAGTTCCTTTAGAAACATTATTCCTGGGACAAAACATGTTCAAGTGTTCAATATTTATTTTCCCCGCTGTACAGGAAGACTGGTTTTGTAGTTACAAATCTGTCCAGATATTTCCACTGAACACAAATGTGAAAGGCTATTTTTCAATATTAAATCGAAAACCAGAAAAAGCTGAAAAAACATTTATCTTTCCCTCATAAAAGAGAAGAAGTCTGAAAAAGGGTAGAACGTGGATGATATCGAGAGATTAAATCACTGTGGAGTGTGTGTCTCCCTCTTCTACTAGTAATCCAATCAACCAAAACTCATCTTAATACCATCTGTAAACAGAGCCAGTTTCAACCGGAGTTTGGCCTGATTGATTTGACATAAGACGATGAAACAACAGTGGTGTCAGGAAGCAAGAATCAATTGTTCCAATTTATATAGTGTAGGACAGATAATATTAAAAACCTTCCTGGGAATTCCTGACATGTTTCTTGTCTATTTTGTTATGAGATTTTAGGAATAATAGATAAATATGCTCAGGGACTATTGCGACTGTTAAAGGGCACCCTTCTTTTCAAGATTTAAATCAAGCCTTTTGTGTGTCCAGGATGTGTCTGTAAAGGTTTAGCTCAAAACACCCATCAGATTATTTATTAGACCTTTCAGAACATTACAATTTTCTGCTCTGGACGCTATGCAGCTGTTTTTGGCGTTTATTATTTTGCAAACTGCTATAAGATGGCTTTAATAGACCTGAAATACAGATGTTGTGCAACAGAGCATAAAATAGCAGCTTGTCTTGAACTTAAATATTCAAATGTTCCAAATATATACAGTTGAAGTCAGAATTATTAGCCCCCCTGAATTACTAGCCCTCCTGTTTATTGTTTCCCCATTTTCTGTTTAACAGAGATATTTTTTCAACACATTTCTAAACACAATAGTTTTAATAACTCATCTCTAATAACTGATTTATTTTATCTTTGCCATGATGACAGTACATAATATTTGACTAGATATTTTTCAAGACACTTGTCTACTTTTTTGCTGCCTAACTCTCAGATTGCTGGCCTACAGTTAGTGCAAAATGCAGCATCTAGATTTTTAACAAAAAGCCCGAAATATGCACAAGTCACTCCTATTTTGAGGTCTCTCCACTGGTTACCGGTGACACAAAGAATCAAATTTAAAATCCTTCTCTTTGTGTTTAAAACC